ATCCCTAAAAAATCAAGGCGATCGAAAACTGGTCAGCACCTACAACGCCGACAGAAATCCGACAATTATTTGGACTCACTGGATACTACCAAAGGTTCATCCAAAAGTTCTCCAAGATCGCTAAACCACTCACAACCTTGACTCAAAAAGGTGTGATGTTTAAGTGGGGAGATAAACAGGAAGCCGCCTTCCAAACGTTAAATCAAGCCCTGTGCAGCACACCGGTCTTGTCTCTTCCAAAAGGAATTGATGACTTCGTAGTATATTGCGATGCTTCAAATCAAAGCCTCAGATGCGTGATCATGCAGAGAGGGAAGGTCATCGCTTACGCGTCATGTCAACTTAAGACACACGAAGTTAATTATACTACCCACGACCTCGAATTGGGAGCAGTTGTGTTCACCTTAAAGATCTGGTGGCACTACCTCTACGGCACAAAGTGCACCATCTTCACCGATCACAAAAGTCTTCAGCATATCCTCAATCAAAAAGAGCTCAACAAGCGACAAAGAAGATGGGTAGAGCTGCTGAACGATTACGAGTGTGAAATCCGCTATCATCCGGGCAAGGCCAATGTTGTAGCCGATGCCCTAAGTAGAAAGGAATATTCGGGTCGCCGGCGCGAAGTCATTAACAATGACAATCCATTTGTACCTGTTCACACGAATCAAGGTAGCTCAACTTGAAGCCTTGAAACCAGAAAACGTGACAGGTGAGGCATTGAGAGGGATGGATAAAAACCTAGAAGTCAAGGAAGACGGAGCTCGTTACCTCATGAACCGGATCTGGACACCAAAGTTTGGTGGGTTCCGAGACGTTGTCATGAACGAAGCACACAAGACACGATATTCCATCCATCCAGGTTCGGATAAGATGTATCTAGACCTCAAGAAGTTGTATTGGTGGCCGAACATGAAAGTTGAGATTGCTACCTATGTGGGTAAGTGTCTGACTTACGCCAAGGTCAAGGTAGAATACCTGAAACCATCAGGACTACTACAACAACCGGATATACCCGAGTGGAAGTGGGAACGAATAACCATGAACTTCATAACCAAGCTGCCTATGACATCGGGTGGGCTTGACACCATATGGGTAATCGTAGACAAATTGACAAAGTCTGCGCACTTCCTGCCGATAAAGGAAACCGACAAGATAGAGAAGTTAACCAGGACGTACATCAAGGAGATTGTGCGACTGCATGGTGTACCAATATCCATTATTTCCAACCGAGATAGTAGATTCACCTCGCGTTTTTGGCAGTCCCTACAGAAATCTCTGGGAACTAGGCTAGACATGAGTACGACCTACCATCCACAAACCGACGGGCAGAGCGAGCGAACCATACAAACATTGGAAGACATGTTAAGAGCCCGTGTGATAGACTTTGGTAAGGCATGGGATACCCATTTACTGCTTATCGAATTCTCCTATAATAACAGCTATCACACTAGCATCAAAGTCGCCCCATTCGAAGCTTTTTATGGTTGCAAGTGTCGATCACCCCTGTGTTGGGCAGAAGTGGGGGACACACAGCTAGCTAGGGGACAAGTTCCTAATAACACCCTTACTGGTTCTGAAATCATAAGGGAGACCACAGAAGATATCGTTCAAATCCGAGAAAGACTAAAAGCCTCTTGAGATCGACAAAAGAGTTACGCAAACAAATGACACAAACCCTTGGAATTCCAAGTGGGTGATCGTGTGCTACTAAAAATTTCCCTTTGGAAACAAATGATATGTTTCGGTAAACGCAGGAAACTAAATCCAAGGTACATCGGTCCATTCGAAATCCTTGCTAGGATCGGGCCAGTAGCATACAAACTCTGATTATCTCAAGAACTTAATAACGTACACCTTACCTTCTACGTATCAAACTTGAAAAAGTGCCTATCCGACGAGACTCTCGTGATACCCCTCGACGAAATTGAAGTTAATTAGAGTCTCCATTTTGTGGAAGAACCAATTGAGATTATGGATCGGGAGGTCAAAAGAACGAAACAAAGTCGTATTCCCATAGTGAAGGTTCGTTGGAACGCGAAACGAGGACCCGAGTTCACTTGGGAACGCGAAAATCAAATGAAACAAAAATACACGCACTCTTCCCAAACTCTTGAAGTCTCAGCCAAAACGTAAATTTTGGGATGAAATTCCCTCTAACGGGGGGATGATGTGTCAATAGTCAATTTCGGGTCAAGTCAAAGTCAACGAGTCAAACCGGACTACTCAATTAACCTTTGTATATTAGGGTTTACGTTATGTAATTACTAAACAACTCGTTATTTTAATGAGAAAACATCAATTGGAAATCCGTGTGTTTAATTCTCCTTAGCCTTGATAATGCTAAACAATGAACCAAAGAGATAAAACAATATTGCACGCTCATCAGTAGTGTGTAGGACATTAAAACATGGCTTAATGGGGTTTACGGACCTTGCATTGCGAAGCCGGACACTCAAAAAGGTCACAAACGAAACCTCCCTCAATCGTTTTCACTCTATATCTTTCTATTTAAAATCTCTCCCAAATCTCTCTCAAAAGTTCCTGTAACTTCTCGTAATCATTCGGGTCATCCTGACCCTTAACCGGGTCAAAAATCGCTTAAAACGAGGTTAGAACGGGTAAAATACCCCAAAAGACCCGAAACCCCTCCCTAGGGCCGAAGCCTCTTAGAGGTCGAACCTTATTGGACCGGAAACAGCCCGAGCTGAAGCCCAAAGCCGCAGCCACCGAGCCGAGGCCCAGAGCCGCAGCTGTCAAGCCCGCAGCCACTTCGCCTTCGATTTTCCTTCGGATGAAGCCGCCTGCGGTAGCAGCTCAGATCGCAGCTTCCCTTCTCCCCCGGATCTGCACCAGCAGCCCCATCCACTTCGGTTCTAGACTACTGAGACCGAGACTTTGCCCAGACTTCGGATTTCCTACCTTTTTACCCGGTTTTCAACCACGACTCAGTTTTAAGCCCATTTTTAATTATTTTAACGTGGGATTTTCACTCAAACTCATATTTTGACATATAAGACCCCATAAATTCATAAATTCACCACATTTTTAGAAAAATCCTTATTTATGAATAAAATCTATTAATGTAAGATCTTGAGGTGGAGTGTTAACTTCACTTGAGTTTATGACAAAAGCAACCACCCACACCCACTCCATGACTAATCCACACCCCTCCCCACCATGCCTGGTCATTCAAGGGTACTTTTCCCACTCTTGCTCACATTTTTGAGCTGGAACAACTCTCCCTCTCTCCATATTCTCACACATTTCTCTCATTTCCACCAAAGATCAAACACAACTTTTCTCTCAAACTTTCTCTCTTAAGTTTTAAAAGGGGGGGAATACAAGTTAAATCACCAAGAACGCAACTAAATGCTTCTAACAACTTTCATCAAAAAAGTTTGGCTCCATTTACGGACTATTTTGATCACCTTAAACATTTTAGTTTTCAAAATTGTTTTAGGTGCAAGTAGTTCCGGTTCTTATCTTTAAAATGGTTACTTGCACATCTCCATACGGTTTTTCTACAATTTATGGTGATCTTTACAAAACTGTCTATCATTTCAAGAACCAATCCGGACCAGTCTGTGTTTATGGACGTTTTCACCTAAGTTGGAGGCCCCTAAAAATCATGGGAAAATTTATGAACAAACTAGACTCATTTTCCAAACTCCCAGAATTTACGGATTCTGATTTGGACCTCTTATGAATTTTCTATAAATTTTCTAAGAACAGTAATAGAAAATGTTAATAATAGAAAAATGCTAACAATTTCATTTTACCTTGTAACATATCGAGCAAGGTGTATATCTTTATGTGAATACATGTTATTGCAAACAAATGACATTTTGTCTTAGTATATAGACATGCATCAGTTAATAAATGGATTTTGATATATATATATATATATATATATATATATATATATAATATAAAAAATAACAAATTGTTATAATCAAAGTACACCCATTACATACAAACGTTTGAATAAAATATGTGAAGTATAGTTTGCATACATTACCACTACTACCATTGTTTTGATAAACTATATTAGGTATGATTTAGGATACATTACATAACACACTCATACAAAAAGGGTACATTTATACAAAAGGGATTTTCATTACGTTACACGTAAATTCGTTAATGACTTTGTGAGACATTCGCTTCATATTTACCAATAAGTCTTGTATTGTAACCAGAGTCTCCTAGAGGGAGAGCGTGATAGTTGTATATAGATCTATATTGGGTTTGACAAACTCACACCTTAACTGCATGCAACAGTTAAACCGGCAGGTCTGGGGTGACAAATGTCATAACATTTCCGATGCCTGAAGAACGTCGTTTCAGGCCAATTAGGTCATAGCATGGTTATAATAACTAACATAAAGTATTAACAAACATAGGAATTTATGGGAATTTCATTGAAATTAAAAGAGTTTATGTCGATTTAAACTTGCATTATTTACTATAAGTAAGAAAGGTTACTTATACATTTCGGTCTCTGGATATAAGGCTACATTACACATTTTAAGGAAAATATCGGATTTTTCTAGAACAAACACTACATTTACAAGAGAAAGGCTTTTATCAATTAAAAACAAAAAGCTCATGAACTCACCAACCTTTGTGTTGACACTTTTTCAAACAACTTGTATTCTCAGGAAATCACTAAACCGGTAACCAAGTGCATTTTGAGG